TTTTGCGGTACACGGGCCTCTCACTGTTGTGGCCTCTCCCCTTGCGGAGCACAGGCTCCAGACACACAGGCTCAGCGGCCATGGCTCATGGGCCCAGCCACTCCGTGGCATGTGGGATCTTCCCGGACTGGGGCACGAACCCACGTCCCCTGCATCGGCAGGCGGACTCTCAACCACTGTGCCACCAGGGAAGCCCTGATCTCTGTTTTTATATCAATAACAAACTGTTTTATTACTGTAGCTTTATAATATAGTTCGATGCCTCCAGCTTTGTTCTTCTTTCTCAGGATTGCTTTGGCTATTTGGGGTCTTTTGTGGTTCTGCACACAGTTTTGAATTGTTTGTTCTATTTCTGTGTAAATACCTTGGAATTTTGACAAGAAGTTTATTGAATGTGTATATTGCTTTGGGTAGTATGGGCATTTTAACAATATTAATTCTTGCACTCCATGAGCATGCAGTAGCTTTGCATTTATGTGTATCTTTTAACGTTTCTTTCATTAGGGTCTTAAGTTTTCATTGTACAGATCTTTCACCTTCTTGGTTAAATTTATTCTGGATACAACTGTACATGTGCTTCTTTTCTTAATTTGTCTTTCTGATAGTGTGTTATTAGTGTATAGAAATACAACTGATTTCTGTATGTTGATTTTGTATCCTGCAACTTTACTGATTTTTTTTTATTAGTTCTAACAGTTTTTTTGTGGAGTCTTTAAGGTTTTCTGTATATAATATCATGTCATCTGAAAATAATGACAGTTTTACCTACTTTCCAATTTGGATGCCTTTTATTTCTTTTTCTTGCCTAAGAGGTCTAAGACTTCCAATACTATGTGGAATAAAAGTGGCAAGAGTGGGCATCCTTGTGTTGTTCTTGACCTTAGAGGAAAAGCTTTCAGCTTTTCACTGTTGAGTATGATGTTAGCTGTGGGCTTGTCATGTATGGCCTTTATTGTGTTGAGGTACATTTCCTCCATACTCACTTTGTTAAGAGTTTTTATCATAAATCGATGTTGAATTTTGTCAAATGCTTTTTCTGCATCTATTGAGATGATCACATAATTTTAATCTTTTGTTAATATGGCATATCATTGATTGATTTGCAGATATGGAACCATCACTCGGATAAATCCCACTTGATCATGGTATAAGATCCTTTCAAGAATATTAATGTATTCTTGAATTTGGTTTGCTGATATTTTGTTAAGGATTTTTGCATTTGTATTCAGGAGGGATATTGGCCTATAATTTACTTTCCTTGTGGTGTCCTTGTTTTGGTATCAAGACAATGCTGGCCTCATAAAATGAGTTTGGGAGTGTTTCCTCATCTTCTGTTTTTTTTGCAATAGTTGGAGAAGGATTGGTAGTAATTTTTCTTTGAATGTTTGATAGAATTCACCAGTGAAACCATCTGGTCCTGGACTTCTGTTTATTGGGAGGTTTTTGATTACCTATTCATTCTTCTTACTAGTAATTAGTCTTTCCAGATTTTCTGTTCCTTATGATTCAACCTTAGAAGGTTGTATGTTTCTAGGAATTTATCCATTTGTTCAAGGTTGTCCAGTTTGTTGGCATTCAATTGTTCATAGTAGTCTCTTATGATCATTTGTATTCCTGTGGTATCAATTGTAATATCTGTCAGGCTGTTCTTGATGGATAATGGAAAGGGCTAACAAATCTGTTCTTCCCTAACTTGCCAGCAGAAAATTTAGATAATAGAGTTTTTTAGTTGTACTCTGGTATTTTTTGATCACTATTATCCCAGAATGGAATCCTTTATGTTCCTCATATTTTCAGTAGTTGTATTTACCTAGTTTACTGTGGAAGTGTTTCCACAGTATAAACAATTGAGAGTGATAAGTCATGTAGTATAGAACAGAGAATGTTAATTCTCTGATTAAACAGTATCCTCAATGTTAATTCATGTTTTTCCTTCTTAAAGAATTGCACAGTGAATCCAAAGGAAAGTATCCTGAAAAGAGTGAAGGATATTGGGTACATCTTTAAAGAGAAATTTGCTAAAGCTGTGGGACAGGGATGTATGGAAATTGGATCACAGGTAACTTGAGTTCATTTTGATTAGTGCCACTATATAGTAAATAATTTCAAATGCAACATCCGTCCCAATTGTATAAATGCTGTAATAGTGTCTGTCCAATAGTATAAAATATTGGCAGATACCATATCCCAGCTGCTTGTGTATGCTGCTGTTTATGGAAAGCTTTATGGGATAGCTCCCCTCACTCCATTGCAGAAACCAAAAGTAAACATGCAGAAAATTTTAGAAGAATTGTAGAAAATTTTAAAAATACAGTAAGAAAAAAATCAAAATCTTGCTAACATTAAGTTTTTGGTGTATATTCTTTAACTTTTACGTATATGAATATTCATGTATGCATATACTTATACAAATGGAATCATATTATACATGCCATTTATCAGTGATATTATTAAATGATGTTGTTTTTACTATTGCTATTATTATTTCAGAAAATCTAAAACTAATATTTGGTAAGCCAGTGGGCTCTGGATCAGAGCCCTGGGTTTATATCTGGTTCTATCATATATGAGCTGTCATCTAACTTCTCTGAGATTCAGGTTTCTATATTTGCTCTGCTTTTCTCTGTGGCATTAATGAGGTAATATATAAAATATATTTGAAAACTGTAATCTACTATACACATTTATTTCGGTGTAGTGAGGTTATATTTTGATTCCATCTGTGTTTTAAACCATTATATTTAAAAGTTGTTTTTGCTTATATATGAAATTTGTACTCATAATTTGGAATGAAGGATTTTTGTGTGTGTGTGTGTGTGTGTGTGTGTGTGTGTGTGTGTGTGTGTGTGTGTGTGTTTATCTAAAATTTAACTGTTCTTTGGACTAATGAAAACTAGTTGTTTGATAACTTTTTGCTTATAAGATCAGGTAGGTCTGATTTTTGCCTTTGACCAGTTTTATGGAAAGAGACTATTATCTTAATCCTGGAGAGCTATCTTGAAAATACGTGTTCTAGGTCACAAGAAGTATTACATTAATATGTAAAATGGTTAAAATAGTACCAGGTACGTAATATATTCTTAGTACACATATATCTGTTGAATGATGTAGACTGAAGTGGAATGATAGAAAACCAACTACTGGACCCCTCCTCTTGAAAATTTATCAGGAATGTTAAAACCATCATTTTATATTTAAATCTTGAGTTTTAGACAAGCAAGCTTTTGTGATCTCTTGGTAGCCATATTCCTAAGAAGGGTCAGGAATGTGTCTCAAGAGAAAACTTTTAAAAAATTAGTAATTGTTATGGTTTTCTAAAATAGTGGGATCTAATTTTTTTTCTTTCTTTGTAGCGATACAAACTTGGAGTCCGATTGTATTACCGAGTAATGGAATCCATGCTTAAATCAGTAAGTTAAAAAGAACATAATAGAAAAAAAATTTAATGCTGACACAAAGAAGGCTTCAATTAATTTTTTTTTAATCTGTTTTAGGAAGAAGAACGATTATCCATTCAAAATTTTAGGTAAATTTTTGTTTTAGTAAAACAATTTCTTCTTTTTTTAAAAGTAAATGTTACAAAATCATTCTTTTTTTTCCTTTAGCAAACTCCTGAATGACAACATCTTTCATACGTCTTTGTTGGCTTGCGCTCTTGAGGTTGTAATGGCTACATATAGCAGTAAGTTAAATTTTAGTAAATAAACATTTTAGTTCAATTTAAAGTTAAAAAAAACTTACCTAATGTGTGGTATGGATTTTTGTGGTGGGGAGAATGGAGAAGTTAAGGAGTTAAGGAGAAGAAATGCATATTTTAGATCAGTATACACTGAAGAATGTAATTGGTCACCGTAATGTGGTCACCATAAAGTGGTTTATTAACCTGAATTATTTCATGTCATCTTGGGAATAGTGTCACTAGACTCCTATTCTGGACTATCCTGAATCCAGGAAATGCTCCTATTGAAACCGCTTCAAAGACTTATGAGACTGTAAAATGCCTGAGGAGTACTACTGAGCAGCTACATATATATTCTGTGGTTATGAGACCAAAGGTTGGAGCTAGAATCCACCAGCTAAACAGAACAGAGGCCACCAATAGTGTTTTTTTAAAATATAATTTTAAACACGTATTATTTTGCAAATAATGTTGCAAATGTCAAAAAAAAGTTTTGTTTGCAAAAAACAACAGAAGAAAATTTATCTAAGGATACAAATGTATAATAAAAGAGAAACTTAAATTAGTAAACAAATATGGACAACTGTGAATCCTCATTTATAACCAAGAAATGCATAATTAAAACAGATATTTTCTAACCAATCAAATTGTCAAAATCTTAAAGAATCACTTCCTCTCTTAATCGAGGATTAATGAGACAGTTAAAATGGATATGCTAATGCATTGCTGGTTAGATGTTAAACGTGTCCCGGATACAAGTTTAGGGTGTTTAAACCTTTGAAAATTTGATATAAGCTGTGAGCCTTCTATCCAGGAAAGACATATATATATATGCACATATACTCAAACTTTGGAAGCCTATTTCCTAGGAGTCTGTGGGCCCCAGAATAAAAAATTCTGTTCTAAATAAAAATTTTTGTTTAGGCTTTCTACTGTGTTTTAATTTTTTGTTTGATAAAACCTTCAAACCGAAAAATATGTCATTCAAGGCTTAACATTTCATACCTAAGTTACGTTTTTCTTTCATTTTTAGGAAGTACATCTCAGAATCTGGATACTGGAACAGATTTGTCCTTCCCTTGGATTCTGAATGTACTTAATTTAAAAGCTTTTGATTTTTACAAAGTGATTGAAAGTTTTATCAAAGCAGAAGCCAACTTGACCAGAGAAATGATTAAACATTTAGAACGATGTGAACATCGAATCATGGAATCCCTTGCATGGCTCTCAGTAAGTAACTAGCTAAAATAGTTAAAGATACTCATATGCATACGGATAACAGTTATCTGTTAGTGAGAGGTATTTGTTAACATTTACCTCAAGAACAAATATGAAATTTAATAAATAATGTAGTTTCAGTGTATAGCCCAAGAAGCAAGTGGAATATTAGATTGGAGTTTCTTTGAGCTCCCCAGACTGTCTGATACAAGGATTTATTTATGAATAGCTTTTCTTAAAGCTTGGCACTTCAAAACAAAGCAGAATTCTTTAGAGTATTTGGGAACTTTATTTAAAATAGAGGTGTCATGTATGAAAATTTAAAATGTCTGCTCTTAAAATTTCAACAAAATGATGAAAAAAATTGAGATTATGCTATTGAGATGATTTAAAAATACAGATTTTTAGTTCAATCTAATCTGATTTTTTTTGTCCCATTGTTAAAGGTAATCCAAAAATCTACACAATTATAGTTATTGTTTATAGCATTATAAGGGCACAAAGCATATTCTCTAGGTAGTCTATTTATAGCATATAACCTATTGATAAGGCTTTATTTTAGTAAAAGTGACATTTCCTATGTAGTAATAGTAAAATATTTATATGAAGTTCTTCTGTTATGCTCTTTAAATCTTCATAGTTGAGTAATACTTTGTTAAGCATCAGGTTTGTAGATTAATATAGAGTTGGTTTCTTCTGAAATTGTTGCATGCTAAGCATATATCTTTTCATTTTTATCAGTATATAGAAATGGTAATAGAAAAATTAAGACTTTAGTTATATTAGAATCCTAATCTGTACATGTAAACCAGGTTTTACTTTTTTGATATTTTAAAAATGTAATGGCTAAGAGTAACTTGTTTCTTAGTGCTTTTCTTGTATTGCTGTATAGACAGAGTGGATAGAAAAGGAGAGAAGTATGGGAAGTTGATAGAAAGACACTATTGCTAAGATTGAATTGGGTAACTCCTTTATACAGGAGCTTCCACTGTAGAAGAAAAGGAGTGGTTAGGAGAAAACTCAGAATCCGGGGGTTAAATGAAAGTAGCAAAAATAAGTAAATAGATCAATAAATGAAACAAGCAGATAGAGTACTTTTCAGAGGCTGTTGTGCCCTCTCTTCCTAGAAATTGAAATCAAGACATCACTGTATTATCTGAAAGTGACTGTTCTCATTTCTTTTAGAGAACTACTTTTATTTCCATCAGTACACATCTGCTGTATACCTTGCATTGAGATAGACATTGTGAGGATATAGAAAAGATATGAGCTCTGAAAGTTGTGGAGGAAATAGTAGAAATGTATGGTTTAACAACTGCTTGTGCTCAAGCCTGTTTAGTTCAGTTACTGGTGTTCTAGGATTCAAAACAATATTCCTTTATTTTTGAGAATTTTTGGAGAAAAAGTGACATGCACAAAATCTGGAAAAAGGTATAATTTTTTAATAATAGGATGATGTGGAAGTCATAATAAGCCTCTGAATTTAAATTCTAAGTATGGTATTTCTAGGGGATGAAATTATAGATGATTTTTAATGTTTGGATTTTTAAAAAATCAACACATACTACTGTTTTAATTGTAAAGAATGGAGTGGTAGTGGGTAACTGTGAAGTTAAGTCATCCTACACAAACACAATATGTGAATTTTTCCTGTGAGAATAATTGACATTTTAGAGAAGAGACATACTATAGATCTATTTGAGCTTTCACAGGCTTTAGGATTTTTTTCTTTATTGAAGTATAACATATATACAGAAAAGTATATATCACAAGTTGTAGTTCAAAGGATTTTTTACAAATTAAATATACCCACATTACCAGCATATACAATAGATCAAGAATCAGAGCAATTGAACACACCCATGATATCAAAATCCAGATCAAGAATCAGAGCAAACTTTCATGGTTTTTTGATTCTGTATTATAATAAGAGTCTCTCATTAAACTGTAGTGATTTATAAGAACATATTCAGTGTTGTTTACCTAGGGAAACATCAAGTGATATTATTACTTTTACCTGTTGATAATTTAATGAAAGAAAGAACGTCATTGTATTTTTAATGGTTGCATAGGGGAAGGGTTCAGTATCTTTACTTCACAATATTGAGAAATAATAAACCAAGAACAGAATAACTATAAGAAGGAATAAGCACATTTCTGTTTCTTTTGATCCCAGACAGATTAACAGGCAATATATGAATGTAAAATGCTAAACAATCTATTGAAAAACCTAGTGAAATCTTGTTCTCTGGAAATTTGGAAGATTAGAGGTTGTTTAAAATGAACCATACCTAGGGCTTCCCTGGTGGCACAGTGGTTGGGGGTCCGCCTGCCGATGCAGGGGACACGGGTTCGTGCCCCGGTCCGGGAAGATCCCGCATGCCGCGGAGCCGCTGGGCCCATGAGCCATGACCTCTGAGCCTGTGCGTCCGGAGCCTGTGCTCCGCAACGGGAGAGGCCGCAGCAGTGAGAGGCCCGCGTACCGCCAAAAAAACAAAAAAACAAAAACAAACAAACAAAAGAAAAATGAACCATACCTAAGCGTTAGATTGAATGACTTCCGGATGTTTAGACCTCTTAAATCTGCTAAGTAGTTTATAATGCCAGCAGATGATGAGGTGAGATTTGGATATTTTACTTTCAGTATATTCAAACTGTATCCGATGTTTTTGGTAAAATCTTTGTAAACCAAAGTAGACCAGGTACTTTATTCTCTAAATGGTCTTTTTTGTGGGCGACTGTGGACTTTTCCTGTTGATCTCCCCACATCTCTTGCTGCCTTAATACTATTTCTCTCACAGCCACCTGAGAAATTTTTTCATAAATGCAGAACAAATCTCATTATGCTAATTCCTCAAATAAAAACCTTCTGTAGGGGACCTATGCATCTGGTAATATTAAAGATAGAATCCTGAGGAGCTTCAACATTTAAGGGATAGACAGAAAAGAGAAGCCTATAAAAGAGATTGAGGCATCTGATATTCCTCCTCAGAGACAGGAGGGGTATCAGAAGTGGTGTCATACTCGCTCTCTCAAAGAGAGGGTTCTGAAAGGTCTGAGTGAGTGCTTGCTGTTTCAGATACTGTAGGAGCAGTCAGTAAGAACTGAAGAGTGTTCATTAGTTTCAGCAATAAGGAAGCCACTGGTGAAGGTAGCGAGGACTGTTACAAGAAGTGGTGGGGGCAGGAGTAGGTTGCAGTGGAATTTGGATGAGATGTGAGTGAGAGATAAAGTGGAGACATTATAGATAGCTTTCATCAGTCTTGTCTGAGAAGGGAAGTAAACGTATAGCTGGAGGTATGTGAGGTGGAGGGAAGATTAGTTTTTAAGATGGGAAAGGAAGGATTAAATGTTGACAGAAAAGAGCTATTAGAAATGTTATCTATTGCTGGATGACACATTAGTGGCTTAAAACAATCATTTTATTTTGCTCATGATTCTGTGGGTCAGGGATTTGGGAAGAGCTTGACTGGGCAGTTCATCCCTGACCATGTAGTATCAGCTGGTGTCTGAGGCGGGATCCACTTCCAAGATGCTTCTTAACTCACAAGTCTGGAACCTTGCTGCTTCTTGGTATGTGCTCACCTCTCCCTTCCTTTCTTTCTTTTTCCCTCCTCATCTCATCCTTCTGGGCTTCTCATGTGAGAAACTATGCATCTTATAGCATTTTGGTTTTAGAGTACTTGTGCTTCTTACACAGCAGCTCTTTATCACTGGTTTTAGGCAATTTGATTACAGTGTGCCTTGGTTTAATTTTCTTCATGTTTCTCTTGTTTGGAGTTCTGCTTCGAAAGGTGAGCTTATAGGTTTCATCAAATCTGGACATTTGGGGCCATTATTTTCTTAAAATGTTTTTGTTGACTCCTCCCACCCCTTCCCTCAGGGATTCCAGTCACACATGTATTAGGTCACTTGAAGTTGTCCCACAGTTCACATCATGATGCTCTGTTTTTTGTTTTTGTTTTTTTTGGTTCCAGATATTTTTGTTTCTGTTTCGTTTGAAATAGTTTCTATAGCTATGTCTTCAAGTTCATTAATTTTTTCTGCTAAAATGTCTAATTTGCTATTCCATCTACTATATTTTTAATCTTAGATATTCTGTTTTTCATCTCTAGAAGTTTGACTTGAATCCTTTTCTAAATCTTCCATATCTCTCTTTAACATATTTGTGCTTTCCTTTACTTTCTTAAACATATGGAATATAGTTATAATAATTGTTTTAAAGTTCCCGTTTACTAATTCTAACATCTATGTCTTTTTAGGACTGTTTCTGTTAACTGATACTTCTCCTTTTAAGGGTCATGGTTTTCTGTTTTTTGTTTGTTTGTTTGTTTTTGCCTGCTTGATGACTTCTTTTGGATGCCAGACATTGTAAATTTTACCTTACTGGGTCCTGGATATTTTTATATTCCTTTCACTATTCTCGAGCTGTGTTTTGGGACTCAGTTTAGTTACTTGGAAACAGTTTGATCCTTTAAAGACTTTTGTTGTTGTTTATAGACAAAGCCAGGGCAGTCTTTAATCTATGGCTAATTTTTCCCCACTGTTGAGGCAGTCCCCTTCTGAGTACTCTACCTGATGTCACATATATTACAAGGTTTTTCCACCCTGGCTGGTGGAAATCAAAACTCTTCTGGGCCCTATGTCAGCTCCTGGAATGGTTCTTTTTCTGGCTTTGGGTAGTTTTCCTGCACTGATCAGTACTAGGGTGAAAACTTGAGAGTAACCCTCTGCAGACTCCTGGAGCTCTGTCTTTGCAGCTCTCTCCTTTCTGTGTAACTCTCTGCTCTGCTATTCTGTCCTGCTAATATTAGCTGCCTTAGCTTTCTTGAATTCTCAACTCTGTTTTCTCCAACCAGGCAGACCACTGGGATCTATTTCAGTTTCTCCTCCCTGTGTTGTAGCCTGGGAACTGTCTCCAGGCAAAGGTGGGGCTTACCATTTGCTTTCTTTCTCTCAGAGATTACTGTCCTATACTGTTTGTTGTTCGTTGTCTGAAAACTATTATTTCA